TAGAAGTTTAAGATTACCCATTGTGTCAAGATCAGGCTCGGAAACACCACCATTGTATGTTTCGCCATCACCAATACTACTGAGATGGTCAAAGTTGGAGTCATCATTGCTTTGGTTCACAGGATTATACAGTGAGAATGCAATTAACAAAAATCACTTAGGCTAACCCATGTGGATAACATTCCAGTGGAGGAAATCAAATTTGCAGAGATTTAGGGATACCTGCCTTTTGAATAGTCACTGTCATTTTTGTAAAACCCCTGTGAAGCCATGGAGCTCCCTTTTCCATAGTGGGGCTTGTCCCTTCCGCAAGAAACCCCAGCAGTGTGTTAGATCAAGTTTTAGGCATAACTCCCTCATGTATGGTTAAACTGGACTTTTTATTTGGGTGTATAATCTTGATATATAGACTATATATTGGGTACCTTGTATTCTTGAAAAGGCCCCAGAGAAAAGATAGTCTTCTCACTTGGGCAACAGCAAGAACAAAGCACCACCTGGCTAAAAAGTTAAAAATGCCAGGCTCTGGATTTTACACTACCACATTTCCCCCCTTTGATCTAGCCACCTTAGATATTATCTCGAAGTCTGAGCAGTTCCCCTTAATCAGCTATCATTTGACAAAATGCTAACGCAGAACAAAATTCACCCATTTTCCGTCTGTAGATTATGCAGGTTGACATGGCTACTATGAGGTTGTGTTCCCAGCCACCTAGGAAGAGAGTTCACAGGATGGTCATGTTTTCTGTGTTTGTTTGTTTTCGGGTTTGTTTTTTATTTTTATTTTTTTTTACATTGATCAGTTACAAACTTCTAGCTTTAACTAACCACACAAAGGTGGTTAAAAGACAAGCTCCCTCTCCCCCTCTTAGAAATCACAGCCCCTTCCTCTATTTACCCTTTTCAGATGTGCCTGGGTGCTTCAAAGTCATGAGACCTCTGAGACAAAAGTAAGATAACAGGCACCCACTTTATCAGCCTTATTTCTCTTCTTGTCCCTGAAAAATGTGTGTCTGGTATCCTTGCTACTTCTAGAGAATTGCTGATTGTGTCGGTGTGGGTATATAAACTAGAAACCTTGTGAAATAGGGAGAGATAATTGAAAGACTAAAGATACATGAGAGGAAGATGTGTATGAGCTGACTCAGTCACCCTCAGATCCCTTTAATGTTGTGGAATTTCCCCCTGCATGCTGTGAATATGTTTTTATTACCATTGGATAATAAAGAAGCTGCTTTAAGTCTATGGCAGCACAGAATATAGCAAGGCAAAAATTATAAGCAGAGATAGTAGAGAGAAAAAAACAAGAGTCAGAGAGAAGCCATGTAGCCACCAAAGGAAAAAGATGCCTGCCTGCCAGAATATTAGCAGCAAACCACAAACCTTGTGGTAAAATATAAAATAAAATAAATGGGTTAATTTAAAATGTAAGATTAGTTAATAAGAGCCCAAGCTAATAGGCCGAACAGTGCTTTAATTAATATAATTTCTGCAAGATTATTTTGGGTCTGGGCGGCCAGGAACTAGCAAGTAGCTACTACACTTTAGCCTGTCCTACTTGCTGTAAACATCCTGTCTGAACCCTGAGGGGGCATTGAGGCTGAAACTCAGAGGTTCCCAATAATTCATACCCTTCATCAACAAACATATCTATAGCAATAAGATCAATCAATGAATGAAACAATCACCATAACAAATAAATCAAGAGTAAAGTATGATATTGGTGACTTACCATTGCACCTTGGATTGATTCCTACCAGAATACTAGAACCCATGAACACATAATCCCAAACCTTACTTACATATACGAGGAATGCATTCTGTATGCAATATGCTCATTGTGAAGTTACTGGAAATACTGTCTGATATAGCTATTCTGATAAATGAGAAAAGTTAATGCTCATATTTGTACCAAGTTTGATAGCCATAGTCACCAATGACCAAGAAGACACTAAAAATACCAATTTTAACAAAAGAAACCCATTGAAATGCCATTTAACACAGAGTTGGAGAAATATCACAGAAGCACCAGCCCTCTACAATTTCAACTGGGGAGAAATGTCTCTTAAATCATCCTTCTACCTTATGAAGAACAAGGGAAGAATACATTTGAGATGTCAGACATGAAAATAGCACCAAACACAAAATTCCTCTCAGCAGTTTTGGCCTCAAAATATGGCAGACCAACTCTGTGATTGGCACCCAGGACAATAAAACTACAGAGATTGTAAACAAAAAATGTATACAATTATTCTGATTGGAAGCAGAATGAGGAGCCAGATTAATTGACTGGGATGACATCAACATCTGACACACACACACACACACACACACACACACACACCACAAGATTGCCAGAACTGTACCTCAGTAATAGGAGAAAATGATGGAAGCATTTTCTCTCTTCGAATACAGTTCCACTGCCATATAGATTCAAATGTACAAATTCACTTTTTGGACTATACCCAAAATAGAATAAGCCAAACATGACTGTCGTGTTTGTGGCCAAACTCCCCAACCTACTGTACTATAGTAAGATGAACATATGGATAGTGAAGGCTGAAACTGATTCATTTATACCTACTAATGATGGGCTGGAAATTACAGCATTGGGGACACAACATTTACAGATTTCCATTGAATTTTGGCTCAGTGCCAAACCCGTTACATCTTTATGGTTTTGAAGCCTCACCACCTGATAAGAATCCATGCAGACACTCGGACACATTGTGCCTGTGTAGTGTTCTATAGAATTTAGATTATACCTTAGCATAGACAGCCAAAGTTTGTACTGATGTGGTCTACATACTGTCACAATTTTTAATGCAAAAGGCCTCAACTCTCATATAGAGATCTATATGCGAATCTCTGGGATTGGTATCAACCAATGCAAACAAGACTGATGCACTGACTAATGTCAACTCTTGCATATTGGTTGACCGCTCAATGCAATCACCCAATTCAGACTGAATTTGTGAAGGTACATGTGAACAAATTTCCTGTAGTCCTTCAAGGATTCCTATTTCAACTGGACTACCACTATACAAGGTGTAATACACCAACAACAAAATCACAATATAAGTGGTGGAAAAGACAATGGAATGGCCTAATTGACCTCAGTCTTTATCATATACCATTCTCAGAAGATTTACAACTTGACAACTACATTTACTGTCACATCTTTAAAAATAATTATAAAACCAAAGGAAGAATGAATTCCACTAATTATCAGTAATACACTGGAACCCACCTTTATAACCAAAAAAAACCAAAAAACAAAAATTTGTTTGCCAAAAAATAATGATTTTTGTGGCTGTGATACCCTGAATGCACTACATGACAATGAAACAAGACTTATCAATACCTCCGGATATCCACACCAGGAACATCACATACTTTTTTCCTCCCCAAATATGGAACATTAGTTCCCTGGTGAAGGAGGGTCTTCTATCTGTTGCTTTCATTGGTTAATTAATAAAGAAAACTGCTTGTCCTGATAGGTCGGAACATAGGTAGGCAGGGAAGACAAAACAAAATTGTGGGAGAAAGAAAGCAGAGGCAGGCAGGTGCGATGAAGCTTACAAATGTTCTTTCTACCCCTAGCAATAGCGGAGAGGGTTCCTGAATTGGCCATCTCCTACAATCAGATTGGTGATTGCCCTAATTTTCGTAAGAGAGCCTTCATCCAGTAAGTGATGGAAACAGAAGTAGAGATTTACAGCCTACAGCAACTTGTTTTGCTCTAAATGTTTTCTAAGAAAAAGAACTTTTGAAAGTAAACATATCCACATTTTTATGTTCACACTTTTGTTCAAGAGAATGACTTCCAAGTCTGTACATATGACACACAAGAAAATAGAAGTTGGTTACTCTGGATCTGGAGTACTAGTAGATGGTTATGAGGCTCCAAACGTGGGTGTTGGGACAAGAACTCAGATATAATGCTGTTTATCCAATAAACCAAGTCTTTCACAGATTAACAACAACAAGCACAAAACCTAAATATATAAATGATCCTTGGTAACATGATGCATCAATATTAAAGTGTTGTATATAATAATTTGCACCATAATACAATCCAAAGACCGTGGTCAATAATTTATAACAGGGAAACTGACCCAAAGCTACACGCAAAGTAGAAACACTCAGAATGCCCAATGGGATTATGAAAAGATAGTAAACACATTGTCATACTATGACTTCTATATTTACCACAAAAGCTACAATAATCAAAAATAAAAAGGATGAAGAATAAAAGCCAAAAAAATGCAGGAAAATATAACCAGCTTTTAACCAAAAGACCAGAGGAAACTTAGCCAAGAAAAGGGTGATCCTGACCAATGTTACCCAGCTACCTATGATTCTATGTATATAGAAATCAAACACTGACTTCACAACAACCACAAATTAACTCAAAGTGACCCTTAAAATGTTATGTTTCTGACCATCTTGCTACTGATATTTATTCCAGATAGGCTCTAGAGTTATCCAAAAAGGGAGATGATCTCGGCCAGATCTTGTTCTGTAGCCCTTCATGCTTCCTTGTGGTTTAAGGCAAACCCAGTCCCAATGATACCCACATAGAAAACACTTTAGAAGAATAATTTAATGTCTGCTTACTACCCCATGGATTATTCACAAGATGTGGCATCTGCCCCATCCACCAGCCCAACACCATGCAAATCTGAGATACCTCTGCAGAACTTCCTTTTGTCTCCTGGAACTGAACTTCACTGAATAATACCATGGTGGCCAACAGTAGCAAAAAGTTAAAGCATTTCATTGCTGAAAGATGAACCCCATCACTCACTCCCTTTCTAGCAGTTTCCAAACTGTCTGAAACATTTGTAAGACAAACATGAAAGTGAAATTCAATGCTCAGCACTTCTAGAAACCAGACCTTCTGCTATCCAATTTTTCTTCTCAGATTCCCATTGTGACAAAAACAATGCCTGTGTGTGCACATTGGGCAGTGATATTGAAAGCATCATAGCCTCCCATTCAAGGGTGGCAGAGCCTTCTCTTCCCCAGGGAATCCACATTCAGAGGCCAAAAGTTCAGAGACCAAGGGCCACTGCCCAAGTCACCAAAGGGACCAACAGAAACATAGTCTGGCTCATGGTCCATCCCAGCAGCTCAGACTCTGACAGCTAAGCCAACCTGGTCTTCCTAAGCTGGGGACCATGTTCACCATGGCACGACTGTGGTCTTTCTTATAGTTCCCTACAGCAGAAGCAGAGGAGAATCCAGGAAAGATCCTGTAAGGTACCTCCCACTGGCACTTCTTATGGCAAAGCCTTCCCAAAGTTCCTCATTGGTTAGGACCTCCCGAATGAACCTCAGAACATTAGCAGTGATGCTACTGTGTGAGCAGAGATCAAATGACTTAGATAATACAAGCCCTCCCAGCTCTGTCCTTCCATAATAGGTCAGATAGAGTGCTAATCTGGGAAATTTGTAGTTTAGTAGAATCTTCCATCCTCCCAGAGCTTTTCCTGTTTCTCCTCCTGTTGCAGCAGGAAAACTTTCACCCTCCTTTCACCCCTCTCTGTGCTGTGACTACAGGTGCTTTACAGATGGTCAAGGGACTCAATTCTTACATAGGTCTCACTTCATTTGTAAGCTACAGAAGTTGGAGGCTTCTCATTCACTGGCCTATTTTTCCTTCTCACTGACCAGTCAAGGACCAGCATGGAAAGAGTTGCAGAACTGTCTTTCCAGCATTGTGCAACAGAGGCAGGATTAGGTGTTCAAATCAATTCTCAATTATATAGTGTGAGGCAAGCCTGAGCTATAGGAGACATTGATCTAAACCAGTGGTTCTCAAGCTTCCTAATGTCACACATTACTACCATTCCTTATGAGGTGGTGACCCCCCAAGTAGAAAATGATTTTCACTGCTACTTCATAACTAAAATTTTGCTACTGTTATAAATTATACTAAAAATATCTGTGTATTCCGATGGTCTTTGGCCACTCTTCTGATAGGGTTATATGTTCCCTGTAAAGGGAGCCTCAACCCCTCAGGTTGAGAACCACTGCTCTATAAACTGATATAAATAAATAAATCAACAAATAGCAACAAAAAAATGGAACGAAATTCTTAATGCTGGGAAACATTGGAAAATAGAAACATATAGAGATTCACACTGTAAAGCATTTAAAGAAAGTGAAGTTTAAAAAACGATACAAATAATTGACTTTTTAAAATGATAGAATTAATTGGAAGAGCACTTAGCTATACTGACTTTGCAACAGAGTTGATGCTTTGCTGCTAGAGAGAATATCGTTAATAAGACATTGTATGACTTTGTCCCATGTAAAATGTTAACTGCTGGGTACTAGCTGACACATGGAGATAAAGCCAATGACCTGTGGCTCAAATCTCTAAGCTGACTTCACTGTATCAACCATGACTGCCCATATCTGCATAAGAGAGATCCCTAACTGCACACTGACTAATCAGCACTTCAAATTACCCTCCCTAAATTGTACATTCACCAATTCTGTCTATCTTCATTCACATGGAAGGAATAAAAAAATGAATTAAATAACACAGAAAGCCAGTCACACACAGAAAGGACCCAGCAGGTCCTTTCTTATGATGAAGACACCTGCATCTCACTGCCTTAAACTTCCGGCCATGACCTAGCTATTGCCTAGGCTGTTTGTCCCTACAATGTACACAGTACACCGTTCCTCTTCTTATGGTCTGAAGGGAGATGCCATGCTCCAAACACAAATCCTTTTCCCCCTTTCCGGTTACTGCAATGGACAATTCAGTATGTGATTCAAACCAATCACTTTAGAACTCTGTGCAGCTACAGTATGGGGAGCATAACAAAGGGGAATGCCCAGTGGGGATACAGCAAGGGTTCAAGTCCACCTCAATCTACATAGGAAACCCTGACTCAAAACCACTTTTCAAAAAGACCAGAGATGCAGCTGTTTCAGACTTAATACATCCTTTATGGCACACCAGCATGTAATAATGATGTTTGTGACCCTGTAATTGCCCCTTCAGCAGCATGCAAAAGGCCTGTTCTTTGACAGGGGAGCAGGGAATAGGGAAACCTTTTGGTTTGGCTGTAAATCAAGGGTTGTCTCCTTTGTTATGAGAATAGTGTTTAATGGCTGGTTAATCCTGGGGAACAAATATTTGCAACTTATCATACTAATCTCTAAGAGCCATGATTAGCATACTACTTATCTTTGTCATATCTGGAAGACAGTCCTTCCTTAGCTTAAAGTCTGTCTCCTAAGAACGGGGAACTCCTTATACCGTCAGTTCTATTACCATGCATTCTACTCTTATACACCACAGTTTAGCAGTGGAGTGCTGCTCTCCACAGGGGATACTGTTTGCCAGCTCCATAAAATTAACTATGGATATTCACTAGGATAGATCCGAAACCTAAATGTTAAATTTTAAAAGTGCAGAGCTTCTAGAAGATACCAGGCAGACCAGTGTTAAGATACAGCACAAGAGGGGCTTTGGCAGCTCCAAAGAGTCCCAAGGTGGGTGAGAGACAAACCATGCAGATCTCGCATACATGAAGAGTTTTATTGTGGGAATACAGAGAGAGAGAGAGAGAGAGAGAGAGAGAGAGAGAGAGAGAGAGAGAGAGAGAGAGAGACAGAAAGAGAGAAACAAGGAGACAGCCAGAGTGAGTGACACAGAGAGAGGGGGACAGAAAAACATGGCTCAAAGCTCAAAGACCCCCTATCTCTTCAGAGGAACAGCAGAAAGAGAGCTGGAGTGGGCGGATCTCTTAGTAGTGACTTAACAGTATGGACTCTAGGCTGGCCAGTGTCCTGCCTGCGTGCACCCAGCCAGGTGACAGGGGACACGCCAGCATAATGCCTGAATCCTAACAATCAGGGCTTTCTGAGATTGACAAATTTGCCTTCCATAGTAACAATACAAGCGCTACAGGTGCCAGCATTTCACAGTGATAGCAACTACAAAGATATTACTGTCTTGCTCCCTGTGAGCTGCACAGACACAGCCCACAGAGTCAAGTGCCTCCCAAGCCCAGGAAGTTGCAAGGACCACATAGGACACGAAGGGCCGGGAAGGAATACGCGGACACACAGGGCAAGAAAGGTACATGTGGGACAAGCGGGACCATGCAGGACCACGCAGGACCCTGCGGAACTCTGCGTCTGGACGCTAGCTACCACCCAGTTCCAGGAAGGACCCACCACCTGGCTCCTATTGCTCAGCAGGCCGCTCCTCGCTATCTGGGAACAGAAGCCCCTCACTCACCATGGCCGGCCACTCCTTCCCGTCTGGGAACAGAAGCCCCTTGCTCACCATGGCGTGGGTGCCAAGTGATCTACCCACAATGGATCCCTCAGAGCCTCACAAAGAACAACTTCCGACTTCCTCATCAGAGAAGCTGAGCCAGAAAGCTAGGTCCCGGAAGAAGAACCCGCCCATTTGACTGGCTCAAGGCTCTGATTGGCTAGTGAGGTCTGAGTGACAAGACCTGGTGAGGTGAAGGGACACCGCACAGTCCTGACTTAAACCTGTCCGACAGACCTATCCCAGATTGGGTAGAGATCTGTGGAAAATTTCTCAGCAAGTGTCTTGTTAATATAAACCAACGGGTTCATTTTGAGAGAAAGAAGTAGGCAATTTAGATAACATTGCTTAAGAGAAACACAGGATATCTCTAAAACATTATAGACAAAGTCGACAGTAGCCATGGGCTTGATAACCACAGTCCCAAGTGTGGGAAGAGATGGTTCTCAGGATATGAAACAACCCTTTCCCAAAAGGCCAGGGTCCCAGACCTTTATCAGTTCTCACAAGCATATTCCTAGTTTCAGAGAAGGAACTCTTTTCTCCTACTCTATATACCAGGGCCTCAGGAAACCTCCTAAGACCTAGACAGGTTCCAAAATTCAGAGATGCCTAGTTTCTCAATTACCTAGGAGAATTCTGAACTTTGACATTTATGTGTAATATCCATTTGGAGTTAATTTTGAGAAGATTAACTCTATACTATTGCACCTTTATTCAAAGCATGACAGTTTTTGACATAAGAGGGATATTTCAAATAATTTTCTTATATTTACTTACATTTCAAGAAAACTGAAAGTAGGGGAAATTTGGGCTGTTTACATTCCTGGATTGTTTTCTTTCATTTAATCATTTTATAAACTCAATATCATTTTTTTCTTTGACTTTTTCTAATTTAGAAATATTTAAACTAGTCTGTGAGTTGAGCTGTTTGCACAATTCATTTTATGCTAAGGTTCCAACTGTTGAGACGAAAACAATGTCTAGTAAAGTAAATGTTCCAGCTACCAGTAATCAAACGAATTATTTTTTATTTTTATTGAGCTCTACATTTTTTTTCTCTGCTCTCCTCCCTGCCTCTCCCCTCACCTTCAACCCTCTCTTAAGGTCCCCATACTCCAAATTTACTCCGAAGAACTTGTCTTTTTCTACGTTCCATGTAGATTAGATCCAATTATGTCTCTCTTAGAGTCCTCATTGTTGCGTATGTTCTCTGGGATTGGAATTTGTAGGGTTTTGGTTTTTTTTTTGCTTTATGTTTAAAAACCACTTATAGATGAGTACACATGATAATTGTATTTCGGGGGTGAGTTACCTCACTCAAAATGATGTTTTCTAGCTCCATGCATTTGCCTGAAAATTTCAAGATGTTGCTATTTTTTTCTGCTGTGTGCATCATATTTTCCTTATTCATTCTTGGTCAAAGGGCATTTAGGTTGTTTCCAGGTTCTGGCAATGACAAAAGAAAAATGCTTCTATGAGCATGGTTAAGCACATGTCCTTGTGGCATGATTGAGCTTTCTTTGGATATATACCCCAAAGTGGTATTGTTGGTCTTGAAGAAAGTTGTTTCCTAATTTTCTGAGAAATCACCACACTGATATCCAAAGGGATATCAGCTTGCAATCCCACCAGTAATGCAGGCGTGCACTTTTTACCCAACATCCTCTTCAGCATAAGCTGTCATCAGTATTTTTGATCTTGGCCATTCATACGGGTGTAAAATGTAATCTCAGATTTGTTTTGATTTGCATTTCTCTGATGACTAAGGATGTTGAACATTTCCTTAAGTGTCTTTCAGCCATTTTAGATTTCTCTGTTGAGAGTTTTCTCTTTAGGTCTGTACTCAATTTATTATTGGATTTTTTTTGTTCTTTTGATGTTCTTGAGTTCTTTGTACATTTTGGAGATTAGACCTCTGTCTGATGTGGGGATGGTGTGTATCTTTTCCCATTCTGTAGGCTGTCATCTTGTCTTGTTGACTCTCTCCTTTACTTTACAGAAGCTTTTCAGTTTCATGAGGTCCCTTTTATTAATTGTTTCTCTCAGTGTCTGTGCTACTGGGATTAGTTTAGGAAGTGGACTCCTGTGCCAATGCATTCAAGTGTACTTCCCACTTTCTCTTCTATGAGGTTCAGTGTGGCTGGCTTTATGTTGAGGTCTTTGATCCAATTGTACTTGAATTTTGTGCACAGTGATATATATGGATCTATTTTCATTCTTCTACATGTTGATATCCAGTTATGCCAGCACCATTTGTTAAATATGCTTTCTTTATTCCATTTTATGTTTTTGCTTCTTTGTCAAATATCAGGTGTTTGTAGTTTAATATCTAGGTCTTCATCCCACTGCCTGTTTTTATGCCAATACCAGTCTGCTTCAGTACTGTAGCTCTGTAGTAGAGTTTGAAGTCAGGGATTGTGATGCCTCCAGAAATTCTGTTATTGTACGGGATTGTTTTGGCTCTCGTGGGTTTTATTGCTTTTCCATATGAAGTTGAGTACTGATCTTTTGAGGTCTGTTAAGAGTTTCTCTGAGATTTTGAAGGATATTGCATTGAATCTGTAGATTGCTTTTAGTAAGATTGCCATTTTTACTATGTTAATTCTACCTACCCAAGAGCATGAGAGATCTTTTCATTTTCTGGTGTCTTCTTCAATTTATTTCTTCAAAGACTTAAAGTTCTTGTCACATAAGTTTTCCACTTGTTTGGTTAGAGTCACTCTGATATATTTTATGCTATTTGTGTCTATTGTGAAGGGTGATGTTTCTTTTATTTCTTTCTCAGCCTATTTATCATCTGTGTACAGGAGAGCTACTGATTATTTTAGTTAATCTATATCCTCCTTCCTTTTTGAAACATTTATGAGTTGTAGAAGTTCCTTGGCAGAATTTTTCGAGACATTTATGTAAACTATGATATCATCAGCAAATAGTGAGAGTTAGACAACTTCTTTTCCAATTTGTATCCCCTTGATCTCCTTTTGTTGTCTTATTGCTCTAACTAGGATCTCAAGGACTACAGTGAATAGATATGGAGAGACAACAACCTTGTCTTGTTTCTAATGTCAGTGGGATCACTGCGAGTTTCTCTCCATTTAGTTTTGTTGGCTGTCAGCTTACTCTATATTGTCTTTATTATGTTTAGGTATGTTCTTTGTAACCCTGCTCTCTCCAAGACATTTATTATGAATGTTGTATTTTGTTGAAAGCTTTTCAGCACCTAATGAGATGATTATGTGTTTTTTATATTTCAGTTTGTTTATATGGTGGTTTATGTTGACAGAATTTTGTATGTTGAACCATCCCTGAATCTCTGAAATGAGGCTGACTTGATCATGGTGGATAATAGTTCTGTTGTGTTCTTGAATTAGATTTGCCAGTATTTTATATAATATTTTTACATCAATGTTCATGAGTGGGATTGGCCTGTAATTCTCTTTCTTAGTAATATCTTTATTTGGCTTGAGTAGCAGGGTAATTTCAGTCTCATAAAAAGAGTTTGGCAAAGTTTACTGTGTGGAACAATTTGAGGAGTATTGGTGTTAGTTCTTCTATGGGAAACTTGTGGAATTCTGAGCTAAAACAATGTGGTCCTGGACTTTTTTTTGGTTGGAAGAATTTTGATGACTGTTTCTATTTCTTCAAAAGTTATAGGTATCCTTAATTTTTTTTATCCAGTCTTGATTTAATTTTGGTAAGTGATACCATTTCCTTTAAGTTACAATTTTGTGGCATACAGGTTTTCAGAATATGACCTGATGATTCTGTGGATTTCCTCTGTGTCTGTTGTTCCCTTTGTCATTTCTGATTTTGTGAATTTGGATATTCTCTCTCTGCCTTTTAGATAGTTTAAATAAAGAATTGTCTATTTTGTTGATTTTCTCAAAGAACCAACTCTTTGTCTCATTGATTCTTTGCATTGTTTTCTTTGTTTCTATTTTGTTGATTTCAGCTCTCAATTTGATTATTTCCTGCTGTCTGTTACTCTTGGACAAGTTTGCTTCTTTTTGTTCTAAAGTTTTCAATTATTCTGTTAATTCACTAGTGTGAGATTTTTCCAGCTTCTTTATGTAGGCGTTTAGTGCTATCAACTTTTCCCTTAACACTGTTTTCATTGTATCCCATAAATTTGGGACTGTTGTGTGGTCATTTTCATTGAATTTTAGGAAGTCTTTAATTTCTCCCTTTATTTCTTCCTCGACCCATTGATGTTTCAGGTGAGCACTGCTCAGTTTTCATGTGTTTGTGGGTTTTCTGGAATTAGATTAGTATTACTGTAGAATTATAGTCTTAAGCCATGGCGATCTGATAAGACACATAGGGTTATTCCAATTTTTTTGTATCTGTTGAGGTTTGTTTTGTTACTGAGTACATGGTCAATTTTTGAGAAGGTTCTATGAGATGCTGAGAGGAAAGTATATTCTTTTCTGTTTGGATGGAATATTCTATAGATGTCTATTAAGTCCGTTTAAGTCATAACATCCATTAGTTCCCTTATTTCTGTGAATATTTTGTCTAACTGACGTGTCCAGCAGTGAGAGTGGATTGTTGAAATCTCCCACTATTAGTGTGTGGGGTTTAATGTATGATATAAGCTTTAGAAGTCTATCTTTTACATATGATGGTGCCCTTGTATTTGGGGCATAGATGTTCAGTATTGAGATTTCCTCTTGATGGATTTTTTCCAGTGACTAATATGAAACTTTTTTTGTCTCTTTTGATTTATTTTAGTTTGAAGTCTATTTTGTTAGCTATTATGATAGCTCCACCAGCTTGTTTCTTATGTGCATTTGATTGGAAATATTTTTTCCCAACCCTTTACTCTGAGGCAATGTCTGTCTTTGAGGTTGAGGTGTCTTTCTTGTATGCAGAAGAAGGATGGTTTCTCTTTTCATATCCAACCTATTAGCCTGTGTCTTTTTACAGGTGAGTTGAATTATTAATATAAAAATATATTAATGACCAGTGATTGCTATCTTCTGTTAATTTACGTCTCATTGTTGGTGATGTTCATTTGTGTGTTTTTCCTTTCTTTTGTATTTGCTCCTGTGAGATCATCCATTGTTTGTGGGTTTTTTATTTGTTTGTTTGTTTGTTTTGTTTTGATACAAAC